TTCACACAAGAGGATGAATAATCGTTGATACAATGCCAATTTGGTCATATCTCATAGACACTCCCGCCATAATATGCGGTCGTTCTTGTAGGTGCATCATGGATGGTTCTTTGAGGTAAAGGGTGGTGACTTCATTTTCTGTGACCTGTGGATCGTTTGTGAGACACGCACCAAAACATTCAAATCAGTCTATCACCCTGATAAAACATCATATCCCGTTGCCGCTGTAACATTACTACTACACGATACTATTCGATGGAGAATACTAAAGCGATCAATCGTCTTTATATCACACACGGTAAAGTAGTGCATGTAAATACTTTACTACTAATACACCACATAACTGTATGTTTGTTCAAGTCCTTGCTTTGAGTTGCTTACATCAGTAGAATGACCATACTTTGGGATATCCGATCTATTCCAAATTTTCAACATCTTTATTATGTCACCGGCTATTGTATAGCGAGCCTTTTCCTCTCAGAAAGCACATCTATCTCTACGTTGTACTTGTACGTTGCATCCTGGTCTCCTGGTCGACGCTTGCCGTGTTATGGCTACCACATGAAAAGCTAGCGGGTTAGAGTAAATGGTTTCTGCATAACCAATTCATTAACAGCGTCAACCTTCTTTTCTTCATCCCCATACCTATGGTGGGTACATGCGCCCAGAAGAAAGTCCTTCCTTACGTGATCCTACCATTTAACCCTTATAATGAGTCAATGCTAATGCTACTGCTACTGTGCACAAGTCAGTCGTCATTCTTCGTTCTTCGTTAGAACAACTATCTCCATGCCGTACAACAACACTGACGTGAATAATGCAAAGTAAGGCACAGTTTTTTTTTAAAAAGGGCAATGTCTTCCTGAAGGTAAGATGAACTTCCTAATTAGCTCCGATTGGATAATAACATCGATGAAGGAGATGAAGCCGGTCAACTTGCTCCATGCTTTAACTTTACTGGTTCATTTGTACATCAGCTTGACGAGAGGATTCCTCCAAACTACTGGCTTTCGCGTGTTAAGGAAGAGGTAGGGAATCATAGTTGTGTTAAACGCATACCCGTAAAGTAACAGAGCGGCTCCCTGAACTATTTACAAAAGACAGTAGCACCTGCGCACTCCAAATCAGCAAGATACGTTACCGAATAGCTTAAACCGCGGTTTCCCTCGTTTTTTTTCAGACATAGTCAGCATTGTTTCGGAGATGAAAGACAAAAACAAGGTTGAATAGCAAACGCTACAGCACCCCTGGTTGAAGACCTTCACAGCTAACAGAAAACCGTTCACACAGATGTCCTCTACTTTGTTATTTTGATGTAAAATATAGTGCCATGAGATTATCAACGTAGTATTCGCTAAGGTGTTATTATTAAAAATATCAGTAAACTTTTTCGAAAGATTATTCACAACAGTTCATAATACGTCATGAAATTCAGAAATAAAACAGCCTGAAATATGGTTTATTTTAATACGCAACGCAATAAAAGGGTCTGTTGGGCGATAGACCCAGAGCGACGTAGCGACCCGAATCTTATAGGCATCCTTCAGTAGAAGACTACCGACTGTAGTCGCCTCTATGCTTGCCTGCAGTAGATGATTATCGTCTGCTTTCAGGCTCTACCTAATCATCTGCAAAGACAATCATATAGGCTATGACAGCCAATCAAACAACTATCCATTTTACCCTGAAAAACACTCTTCAGATATGAGCCGAAACGTCGGCATCGGCTTTTAACCGAACAGACGCTCACATTGATTTTTACATTAATAATACTGTTTTTCGTGCAGGTTTTAATAATATGAGTACCAATGCCCGAACAAAACATTCCCTTGCGTAATTCTGCCATAAAGTTAGTAACCTTTGTATGAGAGAGGCAAACCAGCTTAAATGTTCTGAACTTATACCTTGTGCTGAATTTTAGTCAGCTAGCAGATAAGTCAAGGAGAAATGCAGCTGTAGAGCGAGCGCATCAGACGCCATTGCGAAATGTCTACATCCAAGCTCTATGCAGGTCAACGATATGTAATCCACTGTTTTTGCTGATTG